ATTTGAATTTCTTCATATAACAGAAATTATGTTGAAGGGGGTTGTTTCATGTATGTATTTCCCTGTGAACTAATTATTTGTATGCAGAAATTATTGATTTTTGTGCATTGATTTTGTATAATGCTAATTTTTTATTTGCTGTATTTACTAATGCCAATTTGCTGTATTCCAGTAGTCACTTTGTGGAAATTTTGTAGTCTTATATGATATGGATCAGGTCAAGTGTCTATAGATAGAGTGTGATTTGGTCCTTCCCTATTTGAATCATTTTCATTTTTTTCTCTTGTCTGGTCACTGCCTAAAGTTGTGAACACTGTACTAAACAAGAGTGGTGAGAATGGATCCCCTTGTATTGTTCCTGATTTTAGATTAAATGCTTCAGTATTTCTCTTTTCTGGATAGTGCTGGCAGTGGATTTGTCCTAGATAGAGTTTTCTTGTTTGGAATAATGTTCTTCTATACTTATTCACTTCAGGATTTTAATCATAAATAGTTATTTGATCTTATCAAAGTTTTTCTGTACTTATTGAGATACTTTTGATACTGTTTTTGTTATGTTGCACTTATTGATATAATTTTATTAAAACTTCCTTGCATTCCTGGGAAGATGCCAACTTGCTTTTGATGCATAATCTTTTTAATATTTTTTTGCATTATATTTAGCATTATCCTACTGAGGGATTTTGCATTTATATTTATTATAGTGATTGGCAGGTAGATTTCATTTTTAAAAGTTCTTGTCTGTTTTTGGTATCAGAGTAATATGAGCTTCTGAGAATCATTTTGACATTTTTTTTTGAAATTTCTTCTTCTGTTTCAATGTCAAGAAAAATTTTGAGAAGTACTAGCCTTAGACCTCTCCTGAAGTGTTTGTAGAATCTTTCAGAGGCTCTATAGTCTGCTGGACTTTTCTTCGTAGAAATTATTTTATTGTCTCCTTTATTACCTTTTATCAGTGTATTCATAATTATATATTGTCTTAGTTTGATTTTGATAATTCATATAATCTTAGAAATTTTTGTATTTCTTTTAGGTTCACCATTTTATTGATATGCAAATTTCTTAAATAGTTCATTATAGTCTTGAATTTCAGTGTTATCCATTGTGATTTGATCTTTTTTGTTTAATTGCATTAATATTGCTGTTCTCTTTTTCTTAGAAATTTGGTTAGGTATTTAACAATTTTCTGCATAGACTATCCTGTTGTATTGTTCAGGTTTCCAGTTGGAGGAACAAAATATGTGGCAACTCCAACTTAAAGAAAAACTTTAATTTGGCTCAAAGTTTCAGAAGTTTTAGTGCATACTTCACTCTCTCCAAGGTAGAAACATCATGGAAGAATGGTGTGAGGGAGTATACTTATTCACTTCATTTGGGAAGAGTACAAGGGAAGAGCACCAGAGAGGAAAGGCTCGGGACCAGATATAGTTTTTAAACTCATGCCTCCATGACCTACTGAGATAAACCAAGAAGTATGCTTTTCTAAACCCCTAGGCAGTAATTGCACCAATCAAGTTAATAATCAAGATCAGCACACATATAATGTGAAAATGGGGAGAGTTTAATTTGTCTTTTGTTATCTATGCATCTTTTATTAATTTTTTAAAATCGGTGTATAGAACTCAATCTCCAGTACTGTGTTGAATATGATTGATCAGAGAATGGATTTTACTTGTCTTCTGTTTTTAGGAGGAAACCATTCTATTTTTCACGATTGAGTTTGTTGTTAACTATAGGGTTTGGAAACTTATTTCAGACAATTTATTTTTTGGAAAAATTTGTATTTTTCAAGGAATTGGTTCATTAAGGCATATTCAACTTGTAACCATCAGCCCTTTGATCTCTTTAAAAAGTGTTGCAGTAACACGTACAAACTAAAGGAAGTATTATAAAGACCAAGACAATTTCTGTGTACTCAGTACAGCCAGAGAAGCCATAATATTGCATCTACTTGAATCTAAATCATTAAATTTGTGAGTGTATAATAATTTGCATTATTCCTTTATGATCTCTTTCATGCTTGCAAAGTATAATGGTATCTTGTAGTTCCTTCCTCCTATTAATAACCCGTGTCTTCTTTTTTTTTTCCTTTGGTAGTCATGCTAGATATTTGTCAAATTTATTGTTTAAATGAACTCCTATTTTGCTGTTGTTTTTAAATAATGTACCTTATTTAAAGCAGTACTGTGTTCATACTGCAGGAGTCCAAAATAATAGAAATTAAAGCTACAGACCCAGGATAAATTATTTGCTAACTATATATTTGAAAAATAATTCATATTAAAAATTCTCAAAAGACAGTATTCTGTGTGTTCAATTAAATACTTCAATTATAAAATGAAGACATATTTCACTGAAAAGATTTTATACATGACAAATATGCACATGAAAAGATGGAATAATTTTCTAGCAATTAGGAAAACCAAAATAAGATCTTGATGCATCTCAGTGGTAAAGAATCTGCTTAGCATGCAAGAAGTCTTATCCGTATTCAACTTTCAGCAAAGCAGAGTTTAAAAAGAACTTGATAAGTCATCACTCCATATATGTATTCAAGTAGCTAAAATTAAATAGTTAGATAGATTGATACGACATACTGACAAGAATGCTGAAATATTCTGTCTCTGAAAATAGCTCATAAAAGTGTACAATGACATGACTTCACTGAAAAATAACTTGAATTTTTCTTATAAAGCTTAACATGTAATTATACAACCCAGAAATTGCATTTTCTATTTCTCCTACAAAAATGAATGCTTATTTCTGCACAAAAACCTTTAATTCACTCTTCATAATATATTTTTATAATTACAAAAACTAAAAACTATTCACATTCTTCATAAACATTGATATATTCATATCATGTTATATTCTTACCAATAAATATAATGCCTTGTTGACATACACAACTTGAATGCATCACCAGAGAAGTATTGCTTACTTAAAAAACAGATTTCTTTTTTTTTTTTTTATTTAAAAGGAAAAAGATAAAAAAACAGAACAAAACAAAACAGTGTAAGGGTACAAGTAATACCGAACTACAAAAAGAAAAAAAAACTGTAAAATATCACCAGTTAATAAATTACACACTATCATCTTTGAAATGTTGATTCAGGTCACAGAATCAAAGCATACAAAGTGAACATTCAAGTAGTGAGACTGCAAACAGTTGTGTTCAATGATCCAATAAAAAATATTAATATGGTCATCTATTTAACACACCTAAACACACTTGCTGTTGTATCCTTTTGGACACTTTTCCTTTCTTTATTACAACAAAATTTACACATTTTGGGTTTTATTGCTCCCATAGATCTTATTACTTTTTTTGTAAGAGAATAAAATCAAACATGATAAAACAAAGCTGTCAGTCAAAACCAAGGATAGACATAGCACATGATGTAAAAACAGAGTACAAGGTTATCAACAATGGTTACCATAATGCCTCTTGCTTCCTTAAGAAGAGTTGTCCATGTCATTAGGTATTACAAAGTTGAACAAAACAGTAGAGAACAAGTGCAATAAAACCTAAACATTGTAAACCTTACAGAACTTCAAAAGAAAATAATAGTCGGGGCTGGGGATTTAGCTCAGTGGCATGAGCGCCTGCTTTGTAAGCAGGCAGTCGTGAGTTCGATCCCTGGTACCGATAAAAATGAAAAAGACAAAAAAAAAAAAAAAAAAAAAAAGAAAAGAAAATAATAGTCAAACCAGAATGGACATCAAGTGAATCTTATTGCCTTCAAAGTAGTTGCCGATACTCTGATACTTAATACTAACAGATTCTAATCAGTCAAAACAAGATAGTGGGAGTATTACAGGACTTCAAATCAAGTTAATACGAAATCAAAAATGTTACTATAATATATCCTGCTAGTTTTTTTATTTATTCCCCTTAGTTTAAAAAAGAAAAAAAATAAATAATTTTTTAATGAATAAGGGAGAGGTTGAGATAAAAGAGGGCTTAGCAACATAACAATACAGGTCAAAGCATGACGGTTTCAGCAACCTAGTGCTTCACCACCAAATACCCCGACTTGATAGTAGTTACCATAGTGTCTCTTTCCTCAAAATATTTGAATATAACTTCACATGCTGTAGCATCAAACATATCAAGACAGTGTAACACCATTCAAGTGGATGAAAGCATTGTATTTAGAACCAGTTAACAGAAAAGTGAACAATGGTTTCTATATTGTCTCTTTGCCTATAATATTTTTTTATACTAAAGCCCCACTAAAAATCAGATTTCTAAAAATCACATAATACATGATTTAATTTACATATATTCTTGAAACAGCTATAGAGAAAGAAAACAAATGAGTGACTCCAGGAATTAGGGATAGTGGAAAGAGAGGGTAAAAGGTATCGTGTGAAAAAGAGATATAAAATTCACACAAACATTGTACAATATCCATTTCCTCTTTTTGGAACTGTGCTATAATTTAGTGGTAGTTGAAGTAAACAGAATGAAGAATGCACAAAACATATCCTTGAAATTTTGTGTGACTCAAATTACTTCAATAAAATGTTTTAAAAATTACCCCAAATAAAGTAGGAATGAAGCATTAAAATTATCTGCATAATAAGGTAATGATTACTGAATGAACATTATCAGTAGAGGGTATAATATCTAGGAAGATTGAGATTGAAAATGAAATATAAACTATAGTTTATCTGGAAGAATAGCCAATTCATTTTTCTTCTGAAAGTTTTGATGAATTATTTTTCACTAATATAACAAAAACAGAAACAAAAGCAATCTATAATAGCTAACAAGTTCCTTGAATCTGAATATTTAGAAAAAATATTCTCCTCTAATAAATTATTTTAAAATAAAAATAACTATTTTAGCTTACGGAGAGAAAAATAAAATTATTGTATATGTATTGTTTTGCTCTTTTTAGGTATAGTTTATGTGACATCCATTCATTGTTTTAATGGCTGGAGCTACTATGTTTTCTAATTACAAAACTTCTTTTTGAATTTCTTTTATAAAGACTTGGATTGGGAATCGAAGAAGGAAATATCGTTTAATGGGCATTGAAGTTCCACCTCCAAGAGGAGGCCCTGCTGATTTCTCTGAGCAGCCTGAGTCTGGTTCTTTCTCTGCATTTACACCAGGAGATGAAACAGGGCCTGAAGTAGGAGAGGATAATGACAGAAATGATGAAGTATCCATCTGTTTGTCCGATGGAAGTTCTCAAGGTACTTTATGTGCTGCACTTCCTAACAATAGCCTTGGTATATTTGATGCATTCTGATGTATTTTTCATCTCACTACACTTCAAATCTAGCACCTTCAAAATTTGACTAAGCATTTTAAAAGAAGCAGATTTATTTTTAATGCTTTCTCCTAAATAATCTCCCACATCATCACAAAGCATATTCACCTATCACAATAATGACCTCCCAATTTAAAATTTTGGCTATTATAACAATCTATACGTTATAGTTAAGCAATTTTTTGTTTTATTGGAATTCTAGTCAGGTTAGATTAGAAAATAAACACACAAATAGAAGAGAGTATGAAATAATGTGATTAACTATTGGTGTGTAGTCTGCAAATTAGGTGAAAATCTGCTTTTTTGCAAGCTGATTATGTGACTTTAGGTAAAGGTTTTAATTCAATATTCTTTAAAATTCCTGACTTGCAAAAGAATTTAGACTAGATCTTCTTTATAATACCTCTTGATAATTACCTAAATGAAACTGCAATAATATTATGAACCTGTGCATCCATGACAGATATGCTTTATATGACTTCAAATTTTTTGATGTCATTTTATCAATCTTTTTACTAATTTTTAATTTCCATATAATAAAATTCATCCATTAAGGAGAAATTGAATTATATTTAGTAGATTTGTGTAAATATCACCATCACAAAAATCAATTTTAGATGATTTTCATAACTACTAAAATCTTCCTTGTGCCTATTTGTACTCAGTATTCCCTACAACTGTCAACTCTAGACAGCCATTATGCTTTATTGCTATATAAATGAAATCATGTAATATACAATTTGCACCTGTGATAGAGAAACAAAGAGAAAGCAATGAACTTGCCTATTTTCTTTTATTAAAACCTGTTCTGTATGCGAATATTTTATTTTACAGTTAATTGTTTGTCTTTTGGTTGTTTCATGGTGCGTTATGATTTTATAATTTTTGATGTGATCAGCTTTACCAATACTTTTTTGTGGTTTCTGACTTTGTTACCATGATTATTCTTTCGTTGTACTATAATCAGGCAAATATATCCTCATATTTGCCTCTGGTATCCTTATGGCTTTATTTTTGCAAATTTCATTTTTCCCTTAAAGTATCTTAAGAAACTGCCTAATTTCCAAGTAGTCAAAGAGTTGTCTATACATAATTTGCTTGATAATCCACTCTTTTCCTTGGGACCTTAAATATAACTTTTAATTACATATAATGGTGCACAAATAAACATTAATGCACATACACACATGCAGATGTATGTACATGGTATAATTCTGGATTTATTATTATATACATTTAATTATAATTACAACTGTGGTTATATAAAATGTCCTACTGTCTGGTAGAAATCTTGTTATTCCTAGTTCATGTACTATACTTATTCATCTACATCTACATGAAATTTAGAAATCTTTATTTAGGCTTTTTCTTAATTTCTTTCCCCAATAATTCTCTCTCTCTCTCTCTCTCTCTCTCTGTCTCTCTCTCTCTCTCTCTCTCTCTCTCTCTCTCTCTCTCTCTCTCTCTCCATATATATATATATATATATACATACATATATACATACATATATAAATATATTTCTGTTATAGTAATTCACAGCATGAGAAGAAATATAGGGGTCACTCACACTGAGTCTAAAAATACCAAGTCACAGAATTATATTTAATTAAGTATGAAGATAAAACATACCAAGAAAAGATAATGGACAAGAATTGTGATATTACATTGCCAGATTTGGGGGCAGGTAGAAAAACACAAGATTTTTAGAAAACATTCTAAAATCAGGGAACTAGATTATAATTCTGTTTCTAAATACAATCAAAGGAAATGATTTCAAGAAGAGTCACTATCTCACTGAACTCAGAAATACTGAGTATGAAAAATAGAGCTTTAAATAGGATTTTTAAGAGGTTCTTTAAAAAAATTGGTTGTATGCCCAGGGTTGAGAAAAGTAGATTGCAATAGATTGAGCAATAAAAATGAAAGAAAATCTAGAGGGCTATATATTTTAAGACCAGGTTTTGAAATTTTATCTATGTGAGCATTAAACTTCTCCTCCACTTATTACTGATGTTTAGGAAGATGTTAGCAAACTTTAATGTATGGAAAAATTACTAGGCAGATTTAAAACCATCAAAACTTTTTCACTCTTTCCAAGCCTGTTAATTCTAATATACTTGTTTCATTATTCATAGTTTTGTCTTGTATTAGTCCTTACTAAATTTTTTATACCTAAAACACTTAAAAATGTCTAATGATTCATTACAGGATGTTTAGAGCATAGTGTCTAGGGATGAGTGAGTGTGAATGGGGAACAGTGGGTGTATGTGTTTCACTGAGCAGGTGGGAAAGATTTGAGAAAATACTCTGAAAAAAAGAAAATATAGGCACCCCTAAGTGGAGTTTCATTCCCCACCTGCAAGTTTTCCATCTAAAAAGACAATTATAGAAAAAAAAAATAATAGAAAAAAAGAAAGTTAAATTTAAAGTTCAAATTAATAGTTCACTTTTAATTAACCTATTGCTCACTGCAGCTACACTGGCATCCTTTGCCATATAACAGCACATACTCTAGATCAATAGTGGCAAACCTACGTTACATATTCTGCAGCAGGCACACAAAGCCCTCACTATTGCATGTGAGCTAATTTGCCCCAGCAGCTGAGCACACTGTTTTTATACTTGTTTTGTTTTAAACTGATACTTTATTATGCAGGTTTAATTGAAGTGTTGTCACTTTGTGATAAATAAATGAGTTTTGGATTTCAGTTTGAGAATTGAGTCTCTAAATGTTTCTCCATCACTTGTCTTGAAATTGTTATTAATGGTGCATGAGGAAACACCTCGTAACACAGGCTTTTATGAGGAAAAGACTGGATTGAATTCTGTCTAGTTCCAGGTAAACTGAGATCAAGATGACATCAGCAGGTATCTGGAGAAGTTTACATAGAGTTTTGAGGTTGAGGGTCACAATTCCAAGGAATATGGATGGAATGTTTTGGGTTAAAATTCCAACGATGTTCAGCGCAGGTGTGCAAATAATGCTGGACATTCTGACACCTGACAGACTGTATATCCAGTCCTAAATTTCTTTATGGTCATCTGCTCTATTTGCCAACGGCAAGATATTTGGTTCTCATTATTTTCTGAGAATGGCCTGTTTGCCAAGAAGGTCCCGGCCACGTCCGGCATGACAGACATCTGGCATAGTAATCAAAACCTAATGTGGAAAGGAAGTGAGAGCGTTTAAGGTATCAATAAACCACACACACACACACACACAAAGTGATGAGAATTTCTTAGGACAGCTTATATTTTTCTCAGTTGCATAGTAGTAAGATCATGCTCATCAAAAACTTCAATAGAAAAGCATTTTTAAATACTGAAAACAGCCCTTTCTGCAATTTTTTACAAGTTATATCCTAGCCTTATCCTCATTTTACGAAAGGAGAGTACTAATCTGATTGGTTTCATCCATTTATAATGATTCAATGGTTGTATTATCTGGATTAGATTTATATCATAGCTTTATAAAATGCTAACCATATTTTCCCACTTATGAAAATGCAATTTTTGAGTGTCTATATTGAGATTTCTATTAATTTTATAGAGATATAAAGGTATAATAATGTATGTATCAAAACCTAACAATAGAAATTCAGAATTCTTATAATATAGATGTTAATTCTGAATAGGTAAGCAAGGAAAATAATAGCTTAAGCTGGGCCTTATATATTTAATGTTAAATATCAATCAAAAATCACATAAACCTATCTTTTAAAGGTTAACACAAGCAAAATTTTTAAAAATTTCAGTAAAGGGCAATTTTAACCAGTGTCAACAAAAAGTTCTACTAGTCTTCTAGCAGTTTAACATCCATTGCTTGCTTTTTGAGAGGGCAGATACCTCACAGTGTTTCTCAGTCAGCACTAGTTTTCAATTTGTATCTTTTTCCTTCTTCTGAGATTCCTTTCCTGTACTCTGTGTGAGAATGAAAAGAAAGAACGTATTGCTAGTTTTTTTTTTTAAATTTTATTTATTTTTATTTTTTTAAGTTACATGGGTTCCCACCCTCACAATGGCAAACTTCAGCTTGCATTGCTGAGTGTGGGCATATAGGTGAGTGTGCTGAAGAGTTTTAACTGATTAACAATGTCATTTACTTTCCAGTTAACAGAGCTGCCTTCCTATTACCAGATCCATTGACAGTAATTAGCTTTCAAACTTTCAATAATATAAATAGTTTCTTATTGTACTTCATATTTTATTTTAGAAACCCTCAAAAATAGTTTTTCAGTCTTCTAAAATATTGAAAGTCATGTAAAAATATGTTGCAGTAGAGCAGAACTGCGTTAAAACGTAAAAGTGAGAACAAGAAAATAAGGTAAATAAACCTATATAATACCCCCCCCCCGAGGTCACAAGTACTATTATCTGGTCTGCAGCTAAGGTCAATGATAATCCTTGCCTTTAATTTCTCTAGTATCCAACCATGCAGGACTCCAAATGTCTGAAATTTGAAATGTCTAAATAATGAATAGTCAAAAGTTCCTACCTATAAAACATTATTTTTTAAACATTTAAGTTGACTTTTTTGTAGATTCTACATATAAATGACACCATGCAATACTGTACATTCTCTCTGGATTGGTTTACTAAGCAAAATATCTTCTGGGTTCACTCTGTTGTAGCACATGAAGCAACCTGTTATAGCAAATGGTAGGAGAGAAAAAAAAGTATTCAGAAATACAGAATAAAACAATGGTGAACAGAGTGGATGGTCAGGAGGAAATGGGGAGAAGCAAAATACATTTACCTTATCTCTAAGAGTTGTTAAAGGCCTGGCAGTTTCAGCATTGTCAAAAAGTGCAAGTCCAAACTTTTCTCTGAGATTTAAGACGAACTTTTAGGAATGAGGTCCTATAATAATGAAAAGAAAGTTAAAAATTCCTGCATACAGTGGCACAGGATAAACATTTCTATTCTCTAAGGTACAAATAGGGGGATTGAAAGGAATGGAATCAAAAGAGCAAAATCCAACAAGATAAACATTAAATCTCATAGTTTATGTCAAGAACATGGGGAAATCTGTGGCTAGGTGTGAACTTGAGTTGGGGAAGCCCTGGCTCTCCAGCATTGCTGGTGTTTGTTGTAGCACTCATGGCTTCTCTCTGGGGTCTGCTTTGCTCACTCCTTATAGCTTTCCTGAGATGGTTCACAGTCCTGGGTTCTCCATCTTTCTGGGCTCTCCACTAGCTTTTTTAGCTTCATAGCTCAAAGCTTCACACAGTGCCCTGACAGGCATAGTGTCTGGCCTTCCAGGCCTTCTTCTGGAATTTCTTTGAACGTTTTCCAGTTCCACAACTCTTGAAATGTCTGCATACCTGTAAAAACAGCAAAACCTGAATTATACCAAAGACTGTCACCAGCCTGAGCTGTAGCTGAGCCCTTTAGTATCTCACTGGTGGTTGTGAAAGATTCTGTATGGCTGAATGGTTTAGCACAGCGAAATTAATCCTGGTAAATCGATTTCCATTCCCAAGCCTGCAGCCATTCTGGGGATACACACACTGGGGTTCTCTTCTTAAAGCAAATTCTCATTTTTTCCAAGTTTGAGATTTTGAAAGTTAAGGTCCTACTGGTTCCTTTGATACACTGAGGCCACGCTTTTATTTTTTTCTAGAGTACTTGGATTCTTTTTAGTGGCGATCATTGTAGCAAGCAAGCACTTCTCTGTTCCAGTTTTCAGGTGTCAACTTTACTAGAGCTTCCTTACTGGTCAAACACAAAACTTAATTATTCTGCTGGACTGTTTGCTTTTGATTCTCAATGCAGAGAATCAGTAACTCAGTAACTCAGCCACTGTCTCAGCACCAGACTGTATTGAAATATCTACTGCCAAGTTAGTCAACTGCCCTTGATCTTATTCTGTTTCAATATCTCTGTACATGAGCAAAATACAGACAAACTTTCTGCCGATATATAATACACATTGTCTGGAGTCCAACTCTCAAGGAATCCCTGTTCCCCTTTTGAAATCTCTTGTGCCTGTTCTTTATGGGATGCATTTCTATCATCATTTGAGCTTCTATCAAGTTCAGCTTTCACATTCTAGGGGTTCTCCTCAAGGTGCCATTCCCAAACCTTTCTACATCCTCCCTGCAAGACAGTTTCAGACAATATCTGAACCAAATAATCAGATAACATCACAGCAATAACCCCATTTCTCTGATGCTAAAATATGTCATAGTTACTTTCTTGTTATTGGAACAACTACCTGATAATTCGAAGAGAGGTTTATTTTGACTCACAGAACTTTCCATCCATAGTTGGCTGGACCCAAGGTGGGTGGTATTGCAGAGAAGGCTTTCTTACAGCATGGAAGGCAGAAAGCAGAAAACAACTGTGACAGGAGGGAGGGAGATACATACCCTTCCAAGCCATGCCACCATTGACCTACCTCCTCCAACTAAGCATCATCTCCCAACATCACATATACTATAACTTGATCAGAGGACTAATTCACTGATGAGTATCATGCTAACATGATTCAATCCCCTCAAACAAAACCCCAAGTGTGATAATATGAGCTTTTGGGAAGACATCTAAATGTAAAATATGACATTAGCCGAAGGCTACAAAGTAGAAAATACATAAAGTGAAAAGTAGAAAATTCTAGGGTGTTTTATTAATGTTTATTAATTCTAGAAGTGTTTTATTAATGAAAATGTACTATATTCAGGATTTTTGCTAAGTGACTGCAGCTATTGTTGACTGGAAGGTGTGGGTAACTATGTGAGATGAGGAGCATGCTTACTTTTTTCAATTTGGTGAATATTTTATTATGTATTTGTGTACTATGACATCCTGTTGTATACAATACAAATGAGGAAAAGGAGATGCATTCTTACATTGTATTTATAAAGAAAGAAGTAATAGTAATGTAAAACAGGGAGGTAAGTATATTCATAAATCCAGTGCCTTGAACTGGCCACATCTCATAGCTTAGCATAGAAAGTATATTAGTGGACTTCTTTCTCTAAATTAATTTTTTTCTCAATTTTTCCTTTCTCTGCTTTAAAATATTGAATCTGATCACAAAACAAGAATGTGTTCATTACAGAAAATATTGAGAAACAAAAATAGAAATATGCCTATCCTTATGTAAATAAGAGTGAAAATATAGTTTTTCCAGATTTTTTTCTTTTGTATATATAAGTACAACGTACAGAGAGTGCACATGCAGTCATTATATTCATGCTTTCACAAAATTAGAAATGAGCTCCATTTAGTTTTTTATCAAGCATTATAACATTGATTATACCATGTTTCTTATAAAAATACATATTCATTATATAAAGTTATTCAAGTACAAACACAATGAAGACAAATTTTAAAACATAATTCTACCCAAGAATAATGACACCAATGTTTTGATGCAAATAGAGCCATTCTGTTTTTCTCCATGTAAGCATATTTTTAAATTACAAAATTAAGTGTATGTGTATCTACACAGAAGGTTTTGTCTTCTCCGCTTTTTAAAAAATATTTAATTCTTAATGATTATTCACTCTGTTATTAATTATTCTACTTCACATTTAGGGATTGTACAGTATTTATTATAGGGGTAGGATTAAAAGATTTTTCCAGTCCTCCACTGTTTAATACACACAAACACACACACACACACACACACACACACACACACACACACGCACATATATATATCCTTCCATTTTTCCATTTTTCCATTTTATTTAGCACACTTGTGACTATACTTGCATTTGCACCCATTCACATGTGTTTACTTAGGGTATATCCTTAAAAATATAATCGTTATTCACAGCATGTGTGAGTTAAATTTGCCACTTATGTCCTTGTGAAATAGATTACTTGTGATCTTGAAAAAGCCATTCATAATACTGTTTTGAGACACTGAAAATGAAATATTTACTTTTCCCTATAGAAGAGCCCAATGAAGTTGTTCCAAAAGAGACTAGAGTTCACAAGAAGGAAGAGCATCATGCAGTATGCACAGATAATGTGGTATGTACAGTTTGAAATTTCTTCCTCATTATATGTTGATGTTAGGATTTTATTGTCAGTCGATGACTATGGATTATGAAAATAAAATCTCACTCTACTTCACAAACTAAAGCAGAACTTTTACCAATGAACATTTTTCTTTGAGTGCCTAATCAACAAAATTTTAAATCCTTCACTTTTTTTGAAGTAGGAGGTTTGCAAAGATATGACCCTAATGTTTAGTACAAATATGATATTTTGTACTTAGTTTTTTCTTCAACACTCCTAGCAAAGAACAGGTGTCTTCATATTTGAGAAGTAGTGGAATTAAAATGGAGTTTAGATTTGAGAACAGATTTTAAATGGAATTTAGCTTGAGATAATGAAAGGAATCTTTGTTAGTTCTGGCACTTTTGTCCAAGGATTTATGGCTGAGTTCTCTGAGACTATACCTATCTTTGTTGAGTTAGTAATCTTTCCTTTTTTCTGGTAAAATACTATTCTGTTAATCATGACACAAATCACATAAAGGAAGAAAGGTATTAGGTGTTTGAGTAAGGTAGAGGCAGGCTTTCAGTCAATTAAAATAAAATATGTGGAAAACATAAACTTATAATGTTGTTCCTCTAGAATTTTAACTGTTTTTTTTTTTTTAACAGTATCTGTTTATTTTTTGGTCCCATTAAGTAATGCAGAAAAGTTGTAAGATACAACTGGGTAAACATCAGAAATAAAGGGGAACGTGGTTGTGTTTTATTTCTTTTTTTATTCAATATCCTGTGTTTGATTGCAACTGTTAAAACACAGCCTCTACAACATGCTCACTGGAGGAAAGGTAGAGTCTTTAATAAGTGGTGCTGGAAAAAATAGTTTTCCATATGGTGAAAACTAAAACTAGACCCATGTGTATCACCATGCACTAAATTAAAGTAATAATGGATCAAAGAACTAAATATTAAAACAGAAACACTAAATCTGCTGGAAGACAAAGTAGGCAGAAATCTTTAAGACATGGGGTAGGCAGAGAGATCATACACAAAACTCAAAATGCATGGAAAATACTTCTCCAAATGAACAACTTGGATCTTGTCTTATTAAAAAGCTTTTGCATGTCAAAAGAAAATTCCAACAGAGTGAGAAGAAAACCCACGAATTGGGAAAAATCTTAGCTCTCGCACATATAAAATACTTCTATATAGAACATATAATTTTTTTTTAAAGTCAGCTCCCAAAATTCAAAGACCCAGTCCAAAAATGGACATCTGAAATGAACACATGCTTTTCAACAGAAGAAATACAAATAACAAATAAATGCATGAAAAAATGTTCGCCATCATTGGCCATTCAATAAATGCACACTGAGATTAAAGCCACACTGAGATTTCATCTCACTCCTACATGAATGACCAGGATCAAGAAAACGACCAATAAAAATACTGGAGAGGTTGTTGGGGAAAAGGAGCACTTCAATATTGTTGGTGCAAAGATAGACTGGTGCAAGCACTGTGGAAATCAGTTTGAAGGCTCCTCTGAAACCTGAGATTGTAGGTCCCGTTTGACTCACCTATCCCACTTGTAGGTACATTCCAAGAAGAATCAAAAACATCATACCACAGTGATATATGTGCATCCATGTTTACAGCAGCACAATTTGTAATAGCCAAATCTAGGAAATAACACAAATACCCATTTAATAAGGAATGTATAAAAAAAGGTGGTCTTTTTATATAGTGGAGTACTACTCATCTATAAAGAAAGGTTGCATCTAGGATTTTATAGGTAAATGGACACAACTTGAGACCATATTCATAAGTGAAATAAATCAAACTCACATGTATAAGTACCATATTGTCTCCCTAATGAAATAGAGAGTGCAAATAAGATACGAAGTCTTTAATAAATATTGTGTAAGTGTAAGAAACTGCTCAAAGGGGAAAATTAACTCGGATAGGGAAAGAAAGAGAGAGAAAGAAAGAAAGAAATAAAGAGGAAAGAAAGAAAGGAAGGAAGGAAGGAAGAAAAAAAGGAAGGAAGGAAAAGGAAAAATACATAAATCTGTGTATATGTGCATAAAATAGGTAAGATGACTATACTAATTGTATTATGTCTTGGAAAACAACAATTAGTATTCATATTATTAGATCAACTTTCATTGTCTATATCTGGTAATCTAAACAACCCTTTTGAAGATGACAGTATGCAATATAACAACCATCATCAAATTCCTATCATATTGATTTGAAAGCCTATTTTTTATTGGTTTATGATTGTTGTTGTTGACTGTCTCTTGCTTTTTATTTTTTTTTCTTTTCTGTGTTTTTTCTCAACTAAAAAAAAATGAATAGATAAAATGTGGCCCTCATAATGGAGTTTTCTGTTCCAAAATACTGACATCAACATTTACCACAGGTTCTAGTGCATATAGTACTTATTTGACACTATAATCGTGTCACATTTCTCTTAACAGAAATTGAATGGGTACAATAGAGTTTTGTGTTGTTAAATATTAACAATCTGTAGCATTGTTTTTTTCATGTGCAGAATATAATTTAGGGTTGTATTTTATTAATTTCACTCTTGCTTAGAAGTCATCCCATTTGAAAATGAAGTCATGACATGGGATGAGGCACAATCACTTAAGCACTTAATTTTTCAAGAATGACTGTTAACAGAGACAAACCCCAAGGATTCATCTCCTCTACCTATAATGTGTAGTGTACCCTAAATTATTCATTGCTGACAAATCATGTAGACAATAAAAGACTTCTTTATCTACACAAATCTGTACATTGCCCTTTCATGTATTCCTTTCTACATTGTCTTACTCTTTTTTCAAAAACCAACCCTACTATGTAAACAATCTAAAAATCACCAAAAAAGCATCAAGTCTGAAGATTAGGGAGAGTAAACATGTTTACACCCTAACTTCATAGTTATTATAATAGAGAAGAAGACATTTCATTTCTCTCCAGGAATTGATAGGGAGCAATTTCATTGCGAATCAGAAAGCTGAAGGTCAGAAACCCTGTAATGATATTGCGTCCTCATTAGCAATATACCCAAAACGATCATCCATTTTCATGACTAGATGTATACATATATATGAAGACTAATTTCAAATTCTGCCTGTGACATGCTGCTATTAATATATTTGTTTTTAAAGACTTAACTAAATTTAGTTCAGCTTTCTCTTTTTTGAAATTTTCTTTTGAGTTGGAAGTATTCAAACAGTTAAAGATTCTTTAACTATGATTTTATGTGCACTAAGCAAATTTAGATTTGTTTTTGTCTTTTGCCTTTGCTTTTTACAAAAGATTATGTGAATTAACACCTTGCCTTAAATTTCATGATTGGAGCATATTGGTCATTCTTTTCATGAAGGCTGAGCTGTTTTGTTTATTCTTCTCATAGATATTTAATTAATGCACACTGTATTCAAGACAATGTAAAAGTTATGCTGTACTTTATTTCTGAAGCTAATAGCAAGCATCATTACTCCCATTGTTTCTCTCCTTCTCCTCTCTAGCTTTGCTACTGTCCAGTGAAGAAAACAAATCACCATGCAATATTCATCATTACACCTTATATGCCATAATTCTACCATCTTGCTAAAGGACTGCAGTAAAATGTGAAATTTTAGAAATTATTTTGTCTTTGGAATACATGTCATATGGTGATGTATTGCATTAGAGGCAAGGAACAGGCATGTAAGGATAGAAAAGTAAACCATTGCTATCAATTATACATTTAACTTTAAAATTGACAATCCTTTCAAGAAACAATTTGCTAGTTACTAAATGGTGCTATTTAAACAGAATTCGAATGCCTGTTTTTTTTCAAGATACTCTGAAAATAATTTCTATTGAGGATATTATTAAATCACTTTCGTATTTTCTAACCAATCATCAATTAAATATAGAGGGCCAAGAGACATACTTTGCATAGCACTGAGGAACTAATACATTTTTACTTTATTTCAGAAAATATAAACTAGGTAACTCAATCACAAAAGTGAAACATTTTATAAGTATGTTTTATATATTGTTTAGTATAGGTATAGTGATCTGACATATATGTATAAAATTTCACTTGTGTTACAGAAAATAGAAATTAATGATGATGAAGAAAATGACGTGATAAGTAATTCTGAAGTAGAACAAGTAAATTCTCCCTTGGATTATAAGGTAAAAGTAATTTCAAATTATGAATATATCAAGTAATGGATTAAATGAAGAGAGCTTTTACAGTAAAGCTTATTTTTATATATTATAAGTCCATGTTAAAATTACATGATAGTGAGGCTATGTTGGGAACTTGACTTTGAATTTAATACATGTTTTATCATAGATTAAGTGTGTTGGTACAGTTTATACATATATAATTATCACATTCATCATATGGAACTTGTACCCATACATGATATACTCTGATTCTTATTTTTTCCTATTCCTCTATGCTTTCTTCTTCCCCTTCTCATTTACAAAATCATTGTTTTCATTTTATCTTTTTTTCCTCATTTTTCTTTTTTATTTTACCTTCCTTTCTTTTCCTCACCCCCCTCCTTTGTGCTCCTTCTCATTTGAATATTTGCTTCATATTTTCTAATGTCTGTAATGCATTTTGGTCTTCATTTACATTTTCAGTTTCTCACACTGTATATTTATACATGCATGTCTGATTTATTTTACTCCAGACTTTGATCTCTGTCGTAATACATTTACCTACAAGAAGCTTCAATTTGTAATTCTTTATGACTGAATAGTACTCCATTGTATGAAAACGACATCTGCTTCGTCCATTCATAGGTAGAAGGACATTTGAGCTATTTCCATCATTTAGCTATAATACACTATGCGGCAATGAACATGTGTATGTATATATTACTGTGATTATGATGATTTTAATTCTTTGGGTAGATACTAAGAAATAAGAGAGTCAGTAAAAGCTCTACTCCTATGTTTTGAGGAATCTGTATACACTGATTTCCAGAGTAGTTTCGAGAGTTCACACGAATGCTCATTGTAGAGAAGGGTTCCTTTTTCCTCACAGTCCCACCAGGATTTGCTATTAGCTGATTTCTTGATAATAATCATTCTTTCCAGATTGAGAATCTCAGTGCTGTTTTAATTTGCATCTCTCAAAAGACCACTGAAGTTGAATGCTTTTTCATTTATTGGCCATTTCTGCTTCTTCCTCTGAGAAGTCTCTATTCACTTTAGATGTCTGTTTTTTTATTATGTCTTTAAATTTGGGGAGTTGATGGTTTTCAATTCTTTATAAATTCTATATGTCAGTGTTTTATCAAAGAAGAGCTATCAAACTTTTTCCAGTCTGCAGGTTGTCACTTTACTCTATGTTGGCGATTTCTTTTTCTGTGTAGAAACTTTTTAATAAGATGAGATCTGAGTTTCTGATTATTTGTAATTCTTCTTGTGCAACTGGAGTTTGGTTCACAAAATCTTTGCCTACTGTTATGTCTTTTAGAGTTCTCTTGCAAAAGATTTGATATTTCTTTTTACATATTTAGATCTTGGATCCATTTCAATTTTAGCTCAGTGCACAGTCAGAGACATGAATCCAGTTTTAGTTGCCACCATGTGGAAAGCCAGTTTTCCCATCACCATTTATTAAAGAGACTTTCTTTCTTTCAGTGAGTATGCCTGGACACCTTGTAAAATATATAGTTCTGCATCTTCTAATCTGTTCCATTCATTCTTGAATCAGTTTTTTCCAAGTACTTTGCTATTTTGTCATGGTAGCTCTGTAGTATAAATTCAAGTAATGGAATGTGATGCTCTCTGCATTTCCTTTGTTGATGAGAACTGCTATTGATATTCTAGTTTTCTTCTGGTTCCAAATGATTTGTAGGAATATTTTCTTTACTTATGTGAGGTACGTTATTGGTATTTAGATTCTGATTACATTAAATCTTTATAAAAATTTTTTTAAGTATGGCTATTTTCGTTATGTTGGTTCTTCCTACTCAAAAGCAAGGGATATCTTTCCATTTTCTGATGTCTTCTTCAATCTGTAGTTTTAAATGTAAAGATATTTTACTTTGTTCATGAGATTGACTCCTTTTGTTTTTTGATGCTTTTGAAAGGTGTGGTTTCCCTAATTTCTCTCTCAGTAAGTTTGTCATTTTTTTCAGGAATAATATTGGCTTTTGAGTGTTGACTTTGTAAACAAGTATATTTTTGAATTTGGTTACTAGATCTGAAAGTATTTGGTGGAGTATTGGGGGTATTTATGTAAAGTATCATGTCATTTGCAAATAATGATAATTTAACTTCCTCCTTTCTTATCTTTATTTCTTTCATTTTTTTCTCTTGTATAATTGCTCTAGCTAATATTTCCAGATCTATATTAAATAAGAGAGGTGTTAGTGGATAACCTTGTTTTGTTCCTAGTTTTAGAGTGAAAGCTTTCAGTTTTTAGCATTTAGTTGGTGGTTAGTTTATTGTGGATGGCTTTTATGAGATTGAGATCATCTATTACAATTTTTGCAAGGTTTTTTAAAAAATAATATATAGGTGTTGGACCTTGTCAAATGCTTTTTTCTGCACTTATTTAAATTATTACATGATTTTGTCCTTACTTCTGCTGACATGGTATATGACATTTATTGATTTGCATTGGTTGAAATATTCCCACATCACTAGAATGATTCCTGCTTCACTGTGATGTTTAATTTTCTTGATGATTTGCTGCATTCTATTTGTCAGTATCTTGCTGAGGATTTTTGTATATATGTCATTGGAGAAATTGCCCTATAGTTCTTTTTTTAAATCTTTCTCTAGAGTTTTTCCTTAACAAGTGTGTAGTTACCTTCTCTGACTCTTTTAATCTGTCTTGGTTTGAAATTCACTTTATCTGCAAGTAGACTGGCTATCCCTTTTTGTTTCTAGGCCCCTGTTCCATGAAGAATTTGTTTTCCATCCTTTGACATCAGTCTATGAATTTCATTTTAAGTTATATGCTTTAAGTTATATGTTTAAGTTATGTGTTTCTTATATGCAACATTTTGCTGCATATTATTTCTTGATTTATTCTTCTAGTTCTTGCTTTTGAATGTTGAATTGAAACCATTTACATTTCTGTTTATAAGTGATATATTGGCTAATCATTGTCATACTATTTTCTGGTTGGTTCTCTCTCTTTCACCTCTGTTTAATTCCTTGCCTTGTTTGTTAGCTTCTTTTTATTATTATTCTTTAAATTGTGGTCTTTTTTCTCTTTCTAAAATATACTTCAGACCACTTTGTAGAGGTGGTTTGGTGGTTATCAATTTCTTCAATTGTTATTTATCATGGTGTCATGGTTTATGTTGGTGGCCCCCAGGTCTCATGCATTTGCATTGTGCATTTGTGATTGGTTCATGTCTAGCACTTGGATTGATGGTGCCAATGCTACACCCACCTAGGGTTGTAGTCAGTATACAATGTAATGGCTGGAAGAAGGTGTGTGTTTCTCTCTCTTGCCCTTTCCACCTTGCTGCTTGCAGCTACCATGAACTATGGCCCTGCTATGCCATACAGCCTTGGAGCAAACAGAGTATGGACTGAAACTTCCAAAAACTCTAAGAAATAAACCTTTTCTTTCCCAACTTTGAGCATCAGGTAATTTGTCTCAGAGATGAGTAAAACGTAACTAAGCCACATGGGAATATCTTATTTTTCCACTGATACTGAAAGAGAGTTATGCAGGTTCATCAATCTGGGTTGGAGGTTTTTTTCTTTCAGGAGTTGAAATGCATCACCCCTTGCCCTCTTTGACTTAAAGCTTTGTGCTGAGAAGTCTGTTGTGATTCATATGGGCTTTCCTTTATGGGTGATTTGTTTCTTTTCTCTAATAGTTTTTATTTACTTTGTTCTTCTATTGAATTTCTGGAATCTTGATTATTTTTTGCTCTTGTAAAAATTTATTTTGATATGATTAATGGGAGTCCTATACTCATCATTTATCTTTATATAAAATTCATTTTTCATGTTTGGGAATTTTTCTGCAATTACTTCTTTGAACAGGTTTTTTATCATTTTCAGTGAATACTGCTTTTTAATTGACTTAATTCAGTTTTATGTTGTTGTTCTTTACATCACCTAGCAGCTCTTGGATTGATTGCTCATCATCACTTGCTAGTTTTAAGAGATCATTATGGTCCTGCTCACTAACCAGACTCGTTTTCCCTCTAGCAGTCTATCTCCACTTTTGTTCATATGTTTTGCAAATTTCAATGGAGTTTTTTGTTTCCTGATTATCTGATTGAATCTGTTTCATGGATTCTATTACTTTCTTGTATTATTATTCATGCTTTCCATCATTTTCTTAAACACTATTTTTAATTGACATCTACTCTGCATTCATTGAGCATGTCCTTCATTATGCTCATTCTGTCTTTTTTTTTTACCTTTGAGATTATTTATGATCTGATTTTCTCTACAGCCTCATCATATGTTATTGTTGTCACTGTTTAACATCTGTGGTTACTATTTTGGATAATTCAGTGGAGTGGATTTTGATTTCCCCTATATCATTATCTCCTGGATTTGTTCTGAGTATGCTCAAGATCTGTGGATGGATCTTGCTTCTCTGTCATGTCATTTTATATTGTTTTATTTTAATATGTTTTCTGCATTATGCTTATAAGTTTCTTATGTTAGCTATTTTTATCATTAATATCAATAATTTTTTAGGAAACTGCTAGTCTTCAGATATGCATTCTCAGTATAACTCACTCCTGGAATTTCTGTCCATTCCAAAATTCTACCTTCACAATTTGATAGGGATGAGTAGTTGCTATAATATGATTCAGCACCCAGGCCTTTGGTACTGAACTGTGGCGGTGTTTACGACCCCACATCATCACACTGTTATTATACAACAGTGAACAAATGTTGACATCATGTATGGCATTTTGGATATAGTAGTACAGTTAGCAGTATCAGTATCATCAATCAAAGTCTAAAAATTTACAAACTCTGTAACTGTTAATTTGGTACTTTTAACTATAGTAGCAAGATCTAGTTATACAACAAAACCCATTGATTTTTACCTTGTGTGTGAAGTATCAACAGAAAATAGAAAACAAAACAAACTAATAAACAAAAAGAGAAAGAGGAAAAAAATTCTCTGGTGACTACATTTTGTGGTAGTGTGCAATTCAAAGCATTGATCTATTCTGGGT